TTTGTTTTCATTCAAAGGCTTTATGGTTTTTCCTATAATACCTGGTGGGCCGGTCTCTAGTCAAAATGCCCGGGCCGATTTTTTGTCCCAGTCCAGCCCTGCCTAGAACTGGAAACCCTGAAAATGAAACCTACATACTAATAAATATAACCATGAAGAAATTAAACATCAGATCAGCTAATAATAATAATAACGCCAAAACGCTGGGTCAACTACCCAGCACCATGACAACGTTGTTGCCATCACACTCAAATTGTACGTTTCCTTAGTTCAAGCACTGATAGATTTTTGTTCTGACCCAGTGTGAATAATATCCTGTTCCCTCAGTCCAACACGCCCACTCACCAGAGGAGTGCCGTCAGTCCACTGGAAGTCATTCTCTATGGTCTTGTCATTCAGCCCGATCCACTGGTAGTCTTGTGCATTTGCTGTGGAGACAAAACAAAGTGCCTCGATTCTCTCTCTGCTCCCGTCTCTCACACACATCCGATAAATACTCACCGTTGACAGAGTTCTGCTCCTCTGGGGAGATGATGCTGACCAGGTGGGCGTTGTGATCGCGGCAGCGCTGCTCCGCTGTCACCCACGTCTCTCTCTCGGTGAAGTGTCGGTAGCAGTTCCCCTGAAACTTAGTCCAGCCTTCTTCACACGGCTGCTCCTCTGCGGCCGCAACAGCAAAGAATGAGCACTGTGAGACCGCTCGCTCACTTCAGCGCACAGATTTCTCAATGCAACGCGTCTTTTTCAGGGCTCAGAGTTTAGATACGAAGTGTTCATTAAAGCTTGTTACTCGTCCACAACTACAAACGAGCGTGCTAAGTAAAGTTCAATTCAATTTTATTTATATAGCGCCAAATCACAACAAAAGTTGCCTCAAGGCGCTTCATAAGCGCCATCTTCTCTTCACTTTATTGATTTTTGCTCTCGGCTGTTGATGTTGTGAGTCAGTGAGAATCACACTTTGCCCTGAGTGGGTTTGCTGTTGTGTACAGTTTGACAAAGCGTTTCCATCCTGACCTACAAAACAAACAACTCTTTACTGAGAGGAAAATCAGGCGTAGCATCCTGCTGGACAGTAGGGCCTGCCCAATTTCCACCTTTTACTGCAGCATTCAAAGGCTTCATTCACTCTGTGGCTCCATTCTGTTCATTTTCATTTATGGGCCACTTCAAACAAATGACACAAAACACACACATTTTTCCATTTAGTCCTGTTTAGCTCTATTATAGCAGACAACTCTGGATTTATCTGAGACATCCACCTCTGAGATGCTTTGCCTGTCCACATACAACACGTCTTTAATAATGTAAATTATTTCTGTAATTAAGAAAAAACTCGCAATGTTGGATTTGGGCCTAGAAATCTCAGGAACGTTTCTATTTACACTGGATTTTATTCTACTGGCCTCCAGTAACACCGTGAAAACCCCTTTTTGGTCAGCACGTGTCCTTTAATCTGCACATGAAATAAATCTGTGGACCTGATTTTACTCATCTGTGCAACACTGCTACAATTAGAACCACCGCGTCTCACAGAGATGCACAGACACTGGTCCCTGCACAGGCAGGGCTGTGGAAAGTCCTCGTTTTCAGGTGGAAGAGCCTTCAGTTGAACCAAAACGCTGCTGGGATTAAAAAGAGATCTTATATTATTAGTTTCTATTCTAAGGTCCCAGTTAAAAGAAGAACTTGAATGAATGATCAGACCCCATCACACGATCAGTCAAACTAGCCCAACAGAGCACTTCCCTCTCACACTGTGGGCTGACTTCCAGGGGTGTTTGAAAGTAAACTGGGAGGCAGAGCCTTCAGCTCTAAGGAACCAGCTCCCAGTTTGGATTGGAGACAGTTCTGGACACAACTGTTGGTCTGGTTTTTATTCTGAGCCCAACGTGCCTGCTGTCTCACTCCTCTGAGTTTGAACTACACGTGCTGCTGTCTTCAGCTTTGTTTTGGTTAGTCTAGTTTATTTTTAATCATTTTAATCATTTTTAATTTAAATGTTAATAAACTTAGGGACTCCAATAGAGACAGACAAACTCTCATTATTAATAAAGCTCTGTTAGGACTGGACCTGGTGAACAGGTTTCTTCCTGTTAAAAGGGAGTTCTTCCTCCCTCTGTCTCCAAGCACTTGCTTGTAAGAGACCACCTGGTTGTTGGGCTCGTTTCTGAATATTGTCTATGGTCGGTTCTTTCCCTTACACCTTACAAGTATCTTGAGATGACTGTTGTTGTGAGCTGGCACTATGTAAACAATGTAAGTGAATAACTGAAAGAAATTATAATAATAATTCACACCTAAGATCTGCAGGCCTGAGTGTGGACTGAAGTTTATGAAGGTCTAAAGAATGTTTTTCTGTACATTAGGATGCTCTGTAACACGTTCACTGTTACTCTGGCTCACCTGGAAGACTGCTGCAGTAAAATGAAGTTTAGTAAATGTTTGCAGCAGTAAAACCACTAAACCATTACTGCCTCTCTGACAGAACACAGGCTCCCATTGCAAACCAGGAACATCACAGATACATGCCATGAGCCACCACAGTTGCTCACACAACAACTAATACTGCCATCTGCTGGTGAGGCCTCTCGTTCTCTTGCTTCAGTTGTTTTTGAGGTTGTTAGTATTTTTTAGCTGAAGCTGATCTCATACCGATCTCACAGCGCTCCCCTCCGTAGCTGGGCAGGCATAAGCATTTGAAAGAGTCTACAGTCTCCACACAGGTGGCTCCATTGGCACAAGGGTCGGAACGGCACACATCTACCTCTGCAAAAAAGGGGGGCGGGTAACACTACTGTTACAGCGAGGTGTGGGGACGGGAGGCGGATCAGCAGGGTGGGGAACAATACCATGCAATGCAACTTCAGATTAGACTTACTGCACCTAGAATCATCATCCATGTTCCTTTGTTAACAGCTCTCTCAGGTTAGCATGTGCGAATGACATTGACATTTATATACTGAAATATTCACCAAAATATCCGATTGTTGCAAGGAAGAATGATTCTAGTCCCTGCAGTAAGTATATCTTTGAATCCTTTGCTAGTTGCAGCAGAAAATCACCATTTAACTCCCAGCAGGATGAAAGCACATATGTTGCAGCAGTTAGATTTAGCATGCATGCATGAGCAGAGGAGGCGTGCTGGCATGGCAGACCAAAAACAGCACACAGGCTGAAGAAGACACTTGTGATGAACACGAGACACAGACGCGGTAAATCCTCAGAGCAGAGACGATGCACATTTGACAAACGGCCGAACGTGAACATCTGTCACACAAACACAAAGACCCAGAGCTCGACACAGAGAGACAACAAACCCAAGCAAAAATACAGTCAGGACACAACAGCAGAGAAGGAAAACAGAGACTGTGAGTCTGCTTCATGAACACTGACTACAGTTACAACAGGTTGAATGTTTATCTGGAAATAAACCCTCAGATAACAGGCTGATTAATGCACAGACTGCAGACCAACAAAAATGTAACACATGCAGACAACAAACAGAAATGTTTCAGGCAAAGTCTGTTAACAGGTACTGAACGAAGCTGCTGTCAGAGAAGGAAATGAGAAACTTACCGTCACAGAAGGCAACGCCGTTCTCTGCAGTGCATGAAGTATCGCCACAGGGGTTCGGTTCACATGGGCCAACATGTCCTTAAAAACAATGCACACTGATTCACACAACACGTCCTCCATGAATGACACACACCAGCACAACTTAGAAAGACACAAGAGGTTTTGGCTTTAGCCATCTCAAATATCTCTAAGACGGAAAAGACTGTGAGATGAGCACACTCACATGTATACACTGACATTATTAATTATACAGATGAACTGCTTAAAAGGTATAAGTGTGACGAATTCTCAATATAGGAACAGAAAACCAGAAACACAAACCGGAACATATTTACCAAGAGTTTAAAACAAAACACAACACAAAAATTCTTCCACTGGAATTAATATGAGCAGAGGAAAAAACACAAAAGTAAGTATTAGCTCCATTAACACACCAGAAAATTACAGTTAAAATAATAAAGAAGACAAACTGGGAACAAAACACAACCTGACACTAATAAAAACTGAGAGCTCAAGAAGAATAAACGTTCAATAAACCAGATCACAAAAGTCAAAAAAACAGCCAAAAACAAAATAGAAAAGAGATCCGTGGAGGCAAAATGACAAATGAGACACGATGAAGAAAATATAGATAATAAATTATTTAAAACACCAACAGCAAAACAGACAAAATGTTCACTGTGATGTTGTACTGGAGTGGAAAAGCATCACAGTGTGAGGCTGAGAAGGATGCAGCACATGCAGCTACACTGTGTATACTACACTGTATACGGTGTACTAAAGAAAAAGAAAGAAAGACGTAGATTAAGAAGCATGTTGTTTCAAGTGTTTCTGTATTTTTTAAACTATATTTATTGTTAAGCTTCTCAAAAAACTGTGACCCCACGAGTGCAGTGATTGGTTGGGCTTACGACTTATCATCTTGTCAGCACAGTTAGGCTGAAATGTAAACACTGAGTCTGTGCTGGCATTGAAATTTTGCAAGATACAAGTAATGTAGATCCTGCACAAGTTTCCAAAAGACGTCAACAAATTAACAGAAAGTGTACTTGTGAACTTATTATTTTTAAGGGGCTTAATGCTAAAATTCAAGTATTTTCTATTGTGCATTGATAAGCTGAGCCTCAGTGACACCTGTCATGGGTGAAAACCCAGCAATAACCAGAGTTTCACTCATTTAGCAGTTGTTAGCGGCAGCAAGGATTTGGGTTTGCTATGTGATCACCAGCCAGTCTCTAGGCCTTTACTTTTGAAAAGTAAAACTAAATACACACGACCAGCTGTTGCATGTACAGGGATAAAGGGATTCATATCTTACTTTTCCATCAGTCACTAAACTAAGAATAAAACCTTGCAGGTCACTAAAATCACTTCTGTTTCTGATTTTCTTCACTTAGTCGGGGTTAAACAGTTTCAGTGCACGTGTAAAAATCAAACTGATATCCGCACTGCCTGTAACACTGACTGTGCAATATGTCAAGCTGTGAGTCGGCTCACAATCAGGTGTAGGAAAGTAAAAGAAATAAGACTTTATCACAGCTTTGGTAAATGTTCTGTTCTCATGTATACGAGGGTTTTTTTTCTCTACCTGAGCCCTTTAACCTGATGTTCCCTGACTCAGAAGACCATGGATGCATAGCTCCACGTAGAGTATCTGTAGAGCGGGAATCATACCACTGATGTTCTGATTGGTACCAACTGTACCTCCTGATCAATAAGACTTTAATATAAACGCCTTTTGATCATTTATTTAGTTTTTGCTCTCTTTAAACTTTGTATCTGTTTGTGACACACTTCAACATTTAACTGTTTCTATTCTTGATATTTAATGTCTGTGTTCATTTTTCTTTGCACAGTTTGAATGTTAGAAGAAGATCATAGCTCGCACAGGTAAAGTATCAACAACATTTAGGCTGGGTGGTTCCCACTCACAGGGTCTCATTACAGCCACAGGCCCACTGGGTGGATGCTTCTGCAGCCCTGCCTTACTTAGTTTTTCAGTGCGCTTTATAAATAAAGTTTATTATTATTATTATTATTGCTTTGTTGACGGCACAAGTTAAACCATGCATGGAAAACCGTTTACAGGGTAAGGCAGCCGTTCCTGTAGTTTGGCATCAAATCAAAGAAGTCGCTTAGGTGAGAATGACTACGTAGACATGTAACGTGCTGCTAACAGTAAGTAGCAGCTAGCTTGGCACACGCTAACTTTTTCAGGTAACAATCATTCAAATCTGATGCACAGCTTAGTTTTTATTGCTGATGAATGATTTGATTTTTTGAATCCCACCAAGCAAAAGCAAGTATAAAGTTAACCATCTGTTTCAGGAACTACAATAAAACAACAGTTTCCTCTCAAAGGTGCATATTTGCAGCAGCTAGCACATCAACACACCACCACCACCAAAACACACCTAGTGGTTATGGTTATAGTGACACCCTTAAAAGTAATGAACTGAACATTTTAATTGGCACAAACAGCTACAGAGTACTTCATGTTGATTTGATACACTACCAAAGGACATGATATTTTAAATCCAGAGCAGAAAATCTAATTTGTGTCAAGAATATATTTACTAACCTTCAACAGGGCCTGATGTCTGAACAGAGGGTGGTGCAACTGTAATGGGAGGTGCTGCTAGTCCTGCCGGGACAACTGCAGGGGCCAGAGTTACAGGGACATCATCGGGGGTCTCTGGCACGCCATTAGGGTCCTCCTGTGGTCCTGTGGTGCTCTCTGTCACATTGCACTCAATGATGGGATAGGCCACTGGCAGATGCCTAGAAGGGCCTTCTGAAAAAGTCGTGCTGGCAGCAGATGAGTCAGAGTCTCCACTCCCAGGGTAAGAACCACTGCCACTACTACTTCCTTCTCCACTGTACTCCAACGGCCCCTTACCAAGCTCCGAAAACAGCGTGCCTGAGTCCTCTGGTGATGTGTTTTCAGATACCTTTGTCATTAGATCCTCAGACTGAAAGATAACACTGCCTCCTCCTCCACTTGTAGAGGACTCGTATCCAGAAAGTCCTGATCCAGACAGAGAATGAAAACTTGAGCTTCCAAATCCAGACAGATATCCACCACTTCCCTCTGCAGAACTGTAGAGTAAAACCCCAGACGCCTCCTCCTCCACTCCAGACGATGACCCTGTCAGCTCAGTGAACCCTGAACCCACCAAAGTCACACCAGGGAAAAATTCAAAGACCCCTCCCGAGGCCGAGGCAGTGAGGTCCCCACTGAGGTCCCCACTGAGGTCCCCACTGAGATGACCACTGACGTCTCCACTGAGGTCCCCACTGAGGTCCCCACTGAGATCACCACTGAGGTTTCCACTGAGGTCCCCACTGACGTCTCCACTGAGATCACCACTGAGGTTCCCACTGAGGTCCCCACTGACGTCTCCACTGAGGTCCCCACTGAGATCACCACTGAGATCACCACTGAGGTCCCCACTGAGGTCACCACTGCAATCTCCATTAAGATCACAAATGAGAACGCCAGATCCTGAAATGTCCCCAGAGCCACTGAAGAAGTCTCCACTAAGCTCACTGTATTTACTGGAGGTGGTTGCATCAATCAGTTTATCATCTATCAATAAGATCTGAGTGTCTCCACTCCCTGAAAGCTCTCCTGACTGTCCACTACCACTTCCAGAGGAAAATTTGGATGGAAAACTGCTAGAGCCAGAAAACTCCTGACCAGTGACGAAACCAGAGGACATGTCTGTGGAAGAACCACTTTCTGTAGAACTGAAACCAGATCCAGACCAGGACGCATCCCCACTACCACTCAGCACTCCAGATCCCACATTAGATGAAAGGAAAGTAAGGATCTCTGTGCTTCCCTCTCCAGCTTCTTGAGGTCCTCCAGAACCTGAGTCCTCGCCTGAAGGAGTGGAGTCAGTGCCTGAAAAACAAATACTGATCGTGGACCCTTCTCCACTACCTGATCCAGAAACATCTGTACTACTGGGACCTGATTCTCCGCTGGGTAGGTCAGCATGCGCACTGCCAGCCAGGTCTCCAGAGCCAGAGGAAGGGAGGTCTCCAGAAGCAGAGCCATCTCCAGAAGTAGCCTTATCTCCAGAACCAGAGGAGAAAATCTCGTCTGCAGACAAACATGGCTGTCCAGATCCAGACGATTCTCCAGAGTGACCTCCAGATGTGTAATCTACTACAGAAGTGTCTCCTGAGCCTGAACCAGAGCCTGAATTCTCTACATTGATGGGAGGAGATATGGAGGGAACAGCTGAGAACAGAAATTGAAAGTTAAGCTTAGAAACAAACGGGAACAAATGGGTAATCCAGTCATGCTCTGAAGGGAACTCACCAGGTCGTAACAAATGGGTAGCTGATGTGAGATTTAGTAGAGCCTCCTCAATTTCTGTGACGTTCAGTCCAGTTTCATCTGCAATAAGCCGAACGTCAGCTGTGAAAATGTAAGTGAATGATGATCATGGTGGTTAAGAGTCAAGTATAAGGTATAAATCGTCAATATAAGAATCCCTGTTTGGGAGAAAGACAAATGAATTTTCTGTCCCCTGGTTGCCAAAATTGGGAGAATAGTTTAAAAAGCAAATGTGTAGTTAGACCTCAGAGGGTTAATGAATAGTAGAGACATTCAGAATTACCTCTGAAACAGTAAGCATCAAATCTGGCATCAAGTTCAGGATAGCCAGTCTGGTGATTGTACACAGTGTGCACTCCTATTTTACCCGCTCCGCACTCCGCACGTGGATTGTTGATGGGATAGCGCACACTGCGATCTAGTAGCCAGCCTGCACGGCACTTGTCAAAGCCCATTTTCCAGGCAGCATAGAGATGTCCTGTGGAGGCCGCTGTGGCGTTCTGCTCTTGACAGCTACGAACAGCCTCACTGTAAGTGAAACCTTCAGCTGATTCAATGTGGAAAACCTCTCCTGTGGAACAGATGACAGTGAATAACCAAAATCTATACAATATTACAAAGTCATAACTAAAACTTTAGGCTTTCATCACCTTTGAGCCCGTCAGTGTAGCAGTACACATCGTATCTCTCGTGTGCTGGCCTCAGACCGTAGGATCGAACCCCGGGTCGATCTCCCAGATCTCCAACACAGCTTTCTCGAGGGTAAGCGATAGGATACCTACACAAGAGCACCCAACTATAAAACCTGGTTTAAAACAGAAATCTCTTCACTTGCTCCAGAATAGCAATCCAGAATTACCTTACAGTCTGATCCAGTAGCCAACCTGCGTCACACTGCTGGTATCCAGCTTCATACGCTGCCTGCAGCTGCTGAGGCGTGGCGATTGAGCCTCCGACACTCTGGCAGGCTTGTTGGGCCTCGACAAAGGTGAAAACGTAGCGGCCGGCAGCTGAACGGTAATGGAAGACCACGCCTGTAGAGGAATCAGGAGAGACTACTGTGGGTTGAAATCCTGGAACGTAATTATTAGGGAATCTCTCTGGTCCTTCTTCAGTTATTATAGCATGCATCAGCGGCTCATTTACTGACCACTTGGAGGTATCACAAAGCCTTTGTGTGGCTCCCTGCCAACATCTGGCTGTGCTGTGGCTGACTGTATCAGATCAGTGACAGACTCGATGATGTTTGGCGGCTCAGCCAGAGGCGGGTCAGTGGGGCTTTCTGTGTAGGTGAAGTCCACGTTAGTGGGCATCATAGTCTCCACCTCTCCGGCAGCCTCACTCTCTGTCGTCGTGCTCCTGAAGAACACCTCTGGGCTCTGTGTCACTGTGGTGACTCGCGGCACACCGCTGCCCTCTTCTGTCATGCCTGAGCCGTCTTCATCAGTCGATTCTGGAGGTGACAGAGGAGATGATGTCTAAAGGTGAGTTTTTAAAGAATCTTCTGGAGGAGCTGGTTTGAGCAAGCCACCTATAGGCCATAAGGTTAACGCATTAGCCTGGGAATCTGCCCTGGAGCCGTTTACCCAGTCTAACCCAGTCTAACCCAGTCTAACCCTAGCCCTAGTCTTTTAATTAGGCCTTATCCACTCACAGTATTCAATGATACACATGTCATTGAAAAACTTACAATATGGTGTATTATTTATATAAAATCCCAAAATGTCATGTTGTGGTCAAAGTGTCACAAAAAGTAATTAGATTACTGTTACTTTCCCGTAAGCACGCTGCGTTACTAAAATGTGATTTTGTTTGTGAGAGTCTCTCATGACAACGACGTACGAGCGTGCGACGTCCGTGGTAACAGACGTGTGCAGATCAACAACGGATAATATGGAGTGCAGGAGAGAGTACGACCATGCAGCGTTTACAGTGTGGAAGTAATCACATTACTTTGAGTTTGATTCAGTAAAAAGTGACACAAACATTAGCGTCTGCTGTTCACTCTGCGTGGGAAGAAAACTTCTTTCTACAGCGAAAAGTTAAAACTTCAAATCTGAGCGAGCAGCGAGCACGCTGCCACGGGAACGTGACATTCACAGAGAAACCCCCGGATCCTCCCACTGACATGACCGCTGTGGGCAAACCTCCACCCGCCCCACTCCTGCTAAACACAGACAACAGATTTAAGAGCTGCTGAGTCTTCGATTCTATTAAAATAGGTTTAAATGTTAAACACGTTTCTTCAAGTCAAAGACTGTTGATATCATTTAATGTTTGCTTGATGCATAAAGTCAAAATTAATAAAACATTTTTTTCATTTGATTCAGTTTTGTATGATGGATTATGCAGAAAAAATAGAATTGGGCTGAAAGTTCTGTTGCTTTATTACGTAAGTAATAAAGTAACTAATTACTTTTGAATTACCTTTTTCAAGTAACTTGACCGACACCACCTACATGTTAGAACTACAGGAGCTGCTCAGTGAGGGAAACCCTCACCATGAAGCTCCCAGTGCAGTTTTTGTGCTGATGTTAATGCCAGAGGAGCTCTGGGAAGCTCTGGGAAGCTGCAGTTACTGCGTCAGTGGAGTATTGGCGTGTTTTCGACACCATGCACCACAGCACTGGCTGACCTCTCTCTGTAACTTAAGTGGTCTGCCACTTTCGGGCTGAGTTGCTGTGGTTCCTATACACTTTTACTTCGCAAGGGGGAAGAAAGTTCAGCTGATGTGTAGCATTGGCGTCCTATTACAGTACTACACTCGGTGAGCTCTTTAGAACGACTCTTTTTTCACAGATATTTGCAAACTGCGTGATAGTTTTGCACCATTCGGCCACGTGATGCAGTATTGATCAAGTGAATAATGCCACAGTCCCACATTTGACTGTGGCATTATTATGTCAGTGGCTAGAGACCAGTCAGTGACCTTCTGAATGGTAAACTGGTTGGTGAAACCCTCTTTACTTTTAGATTGCTGCAATTGTTCGTAGTTTGCAGATAAGATCTCAACTTGTCTGCTAGCAAGTGTAACCGCTCACCCTTCGAGCGGTTATAAGACTGTAAACAATGGCACACAAACAGTAAAGGGAAATTATTGGCCTTCAGAGTAAAAGCTCTGTTCCACAGTTGCATCTTTTACATTGAAGACAAACAGTCCCTGTCTGTGGTTTGTGTTGGTGCAGCAAGCTGCTAGCAACCAAGGGAATCACCAGGAGGTTTCTGCTGCAGAACTGTCTTTCTGACCAGTGTCAACAGAAGGCCCCTCCAACTCTGGTGACAGGTGATTGATCACACTCTCTTGATCAGTGTGTGCAGGACATGACAATCCTACAGCCCCAGAGAAACCGTGGCATCTCTGGGGCTGTAGGATTCAAAGATTCAGAGGTTTGTACTTTAGTCTGTTTAGTATATGTAGGTTCTAGTAATATGCAACTGTTTCCTGCACATGTAAAATGTGGCAATACAAAGCTAGTGAAAGTACAGATGCACACTTGTGTGCTTTTATTGTGTGAGCGATACCTGTGTAACAGAAGGCGTCACAGCGAGACTCGGGAAGAGGATATCCTGTCTGGTTTGCGTGAAGATAAACAGTCCGTACCCCGATCAGCCCGCCTCCACACTGTGGCCTACGAATGTTGATGGGATAGCGGACACTCCTGTCTGCGAGCCAGCCAGCGTTGCAGACATCCATCCCTCCTTGCCAGGCCAGGTACAGCTGACCTGTAGTGGCCAGCTGAGCACCCTTATTAGAGCACGCCAACACAGCCTCTGAGAAGGTGAACTTCTCTGCAGTCGCAGTGTAGAAAACTCTGCCTGTCTCAGATAAAGAGCTTTGTGAGAAAAATAAAGAATACAAATCATGAAAGGATGAGTTTAAAATGCATTAAAGTGTACCTGTCATCTTCTCAGTGAAGCAGTAAACATCATAAGTCTCATTGAGATCCCTCACGCCGTAGGTCCTGACTCCAGGCAGTTCTACTTTGTCACCATAGCAGTTCATACGAGGACTCTGGATTGGGTACCTGTGGTTAAACAAAGTAATGTGAAGAAGAAAACACTGCAAACTAAACTCATGTTTGCTGCTGTACAGAAGTTTAACATGAGCACATTATGATCTGCTCACATTAGCTTTGTCCTTTCAGACCACAATTCATCGATTTCACGTTTTTCCTTAAATCCACAGTAAAGTGTTTTAAAAACACATTTCAAAGAAGTTGAGAGCAGACTGGAAAATATGTCTATTTTAAGAAAACTCCCAGTACGACGAATTGTATTAACTGCTAAACATGCCCAGGAAAGAAAGGAGAGGCTTGGTGCTTCATAAGTGGGAATGGAAAGAAATAATATTTCTCTAGAAACTATTACAAGTAATTTGGGGATATCATAATCTGCAGTCTTGCAGTCTCTGTTCTAATTTATCCCAAAGTTGTCATATCAGGTTAAGCTCAGGACTCTGTGCAGGCCAGTCAAGTATTTCCACACCAACCTCAGTCATCTTTATGGACCTTGGTTTGTGCACTGCTGCGCAGTCTTGTTGGAACAGGAAGGAGCCATTCCCCAAAACTCCAAAATGTCTTGTTTAAAGCATTAAGAGTTTCTTTGACTGGAACTACGGGGCCAACTCCACCCCCGCACCATAATCCCCGCTCACCAAACTTTACCAGCTCTTAATCAACATTTTTTTGATTAAGATGCCAAATTACAGTTTTTTACTGAACAGAAAAATGAGTTTTAGTCCTATGTTGTTCTGCTTGGTTAATTCTGACCTCAGCGCTGGCTTAAACTTAAGTTTAAAAAAGTGAATTTAGCCATTTTCGTTTTTGGCAGATTTCTCAAATATGTTTCTTTTCTTGCTTTTATGAAGGGCCATGTTATAAATTTTGGAAATAAAACTAGTGAGCAGTTGCTCCTTGGGTGGGTGCTGACCTGACTGTGTGATCAGAGAGCCAGCCAGCGTCACACTGGTGAAAACCGTCATCGTATGCCGCTTGGAGCTGTTCAGGTGAAGCCATTACTGCACTATTCTGGGTGCACGCTGCCTTCGCCTTTTCAAAAGTCAAACTGTAGCGTCCCATGATGGCCCTGTAGTGGAACACAGTGCCTGGAGAGACAAAAAGTGGGATAACAATAAGAAAGAGCGATGGTGCGATGTGACCAAAAAATCCATATAATTTTGGTCATTTTGTCAACACTATCACATAAAAGTAAAAAATCAAAAGAAAAGGTATCAACTCCTGCCTCGCAGACATCATGTGTCACTCATACCTTGAACCTGGACGTGCACGATGCTGTGGTTGTCCTCGATGTCGTGCTGAACCTCACAGCGATACACTCCCGTGTCACTGGAACGCAGCTCAGATATCCTGATGCTAGCGTTTGTCGGGGTCCCAGGATAAGCTACCAGCTGGACTCTGTCCTGGTAGTTCTCAGTGATATGCACTTTCCCCCCCTGGGCAACAATGATGGTTGTGGCCTTTTCTTTAGTCACAAAGCTCCATTTGATCCGATGAGACAAGGGGGCAATGGTGGGAGCGCCAGGGTCGTCAACAGTGTGATCCTATGAGAGGCGACATCATTTACAAACATTTTCGAGGGTTTATAGACACAAACATACGTACATACATGTCAGGTAGTTAAAGTAATATGACAGGTTCAATCTAAGCTTCTGTTACTTTATTTGCTGACTAAGCAGCTGTACTGTTGTTTTGATGTCAGGTCTGCTGAGATTACTGATCTATTGCATTCTGTGTAGTGGTTAACACGTGTGCTCCTAACGCTAACGCTGAAGCTAATGATGTCATGGTGGCTAAGGCCTTCTTTTATATGGCACACAAAACAAAGGTGTAGTTTGCCATTTACACACCTCAAAGTGGCACGGTAGCATCAGCGTTCCCCCCAGCAGAGGGCGCTGTGGACCCTCCAGGAGAATGATGACACTCAGTACATCCTCTGGGTCTGTGAAGGTCAGACATGCACACAATGTAGAAAGACAAGACTGCTACACGCCAGTGCTGACTGATGAGGACACTGGAGAGAAACTGTAAGCTGCACTTCTTACCCATATAGGACTGCTGCTCATAAACATCATATGTGGCTGAGGTGACAGTCACATACAAAGCCATCAGCACCGTCCCCCGGATCATGTTCATCCTAAAAATCAAACAGGAAAATTAGCAGGAACACGACTGTGACTCGAACTCTTCGTCACACTTGGACGCTGATGTTAAATGCTAATCCTTTTTTTTATGTCCTACCTTTAGAAGTGAAAAAAGAGAACTTAATCTAAACTGTTGAAGAACAGGTCAATTAAAATGAGACCACAAAGGTATTATAACCTCAGTTTCTTACTTCCTGCAGTCCATAGCCTGAGTGTGTAAAACGTGCTGTACTGAGATGCTGTAGAGGCTGGTTCTGATCATTTATTCAAATGATCACAGAAAGATTTCAGGTTCTTTGTCTCTGGTAAAGACTATACTTATCATAATAATTCAGTAATAATAAAAATTACACTGAAAATAATAAAATTACACTGAAACAAAAACTACTGCAGCTAATCTGAACTGATAATGGAAATTATAAACCCCCCAAATTTCATGTATAAATACAAAGCTAAGCTAAGATAAGATAAGATAAGATAAGATAGAACTTTATTAATCCCTCGGGTGGGTTCCTCTGGGAAATTCGACTTCCAAAAAAAGCACAGCAACGACCGAAGTTACAGAGTTACAGAATATTTATGTATATATATGTGTGTGTGTGTATGTATATATATATATATATGTATATATATATATATATTCTTATATTATATATATATATATAATATATATATACATATATATATATATATATATATGATATATATAATTTTTTATAGATATATATATACATATTATATATACAATTTAATGTATATATATATATATTATATATATATATATATATATGTAATATACAATATATATATATATATATATGATTATCATATATATAATATTCACCCAGTATATATATATATATATATATACACATATAGTATATAATGTTCTATATATAATATATACATATATATGTATATATTACATTATATATATATATATTGTGAGAATTATATATACAGAATATATATATGTATATATATATATATATATATATACACACACACACACACACACACACATATAAATACAGAGACAAATATAAATAAAATATACAAAGGGGATAAATAGAATAAATAGGAATAAAAAATAAAAATACAAGTGAATTGCACATTTCAAGTATTGAGTCTATTGCACTGTTGACTATTTACAAAAAGTATTGCACAAGGTATTGTACAGTGAGGTGAAGAGGCACTACAGCTTAGTTGTTCCCCCCTCCTTTGTCCTCCTGTTTCCCTGTAGCTGTAGTAAGTCGTCAGTCCAGTGACCAATATATTCGCACAGGTGACCTTTTGATGGGCGGAGCAGTGGAACCGTGCAGGGACTGATTTGTGCGTTTAGAATTTACATGTTTTGTTTGGAGGGAACATTTTACCTTCTTTTCTTGTTTATTTCAGTATTAATAAAGCTACTTTTTGGATTATTCATTTATTTATTTGAGATGTGCCAAATCCCACAAGACTTAACTTTACTTCTAAGATTTTTTTTATGTTCGCTGGAAGAGACATTTTGATTTTTAACATACTTTTTTGTTTAAATTAGTATTTGTTTGGCCGAGTGTGTGAGAGAGATACACACTGGAACGTCCTGGAAACGTGGTTACAGTGGAAAAAAGAAGCCAGTTTCTCTCTGTTTCCCTCCCCATCATTGTGGGGTTTTTATTTAAATAAAATAATGATTGTTGTTTTCTGAACAGAGGCTGCTGCTGTTCTGAGTAAATGAATCGCTGCATTTGCAGCGGGAAGAGGCTGCCGTTAAAACAGCACTATCATTTTTTCTGCTTCTCTTAGTTCAGCCAACATTATTAGCAAACTTGCTCATGAGCCAAATAAATCAATAAATGGCTCTTGTATAAACGATCGGTGAAAGGCTCAGCCTGTCCTTAAACCTTAAACTGGCTCACATACAAATAGACATTTGATATTTTCTACTTTAATTATTTACTTCGTGCTTCATGTTTTCTACTGGTAAACTTTTGCTTTTGGCTTTTTGGAGGAAGTTGGTGAACAAATGGGCAGTAACTGCACGATCTGATTGGATGTCCAGATTTAGCACAGAATTTCACATAATGCTTTTTTTCTTTCTTTCTTTGAACCCCTAAAGCTCGATGTCTGGGCTAAGTGACAGCTCATTAGCACTGAGTTTGTGTGAGTGGTGCTGGTGGCCAGCTCCACACTGCATTCATTCAGCCGCTGTGGTAAGGTCCACTCCCACAGAGACTGGGCCCATAAGACCAGATCTGTTCCCTGTGAAGCCTGTGTTATGGCAGCTCTGACGACACCAGGTCTGTGTAAACAGCACTGCGTAGATTCTAGAGTCCGCCCTTTCCATCGCGTCCTAACACTGCTCACATTCAGGCCGGAGACCGGAGTGCGACGTGATGGAGGGAGGCCAGTCAGGCCTTTGATCCTTGACAACGACTGAATTTATATTTCTTTACATGAGGCAAAACGTTCATGTGATACACCAGGTGTAAAAATGTCATGTTTGTTACAGGTGATGACTGTGTTGTTCAACCATGGGAGGAAATTAAGGTGTGAGATAGGATGGCTGAGCCCCAATACTGTGCTCTTCAGTGAACTAGCTGACGTTAAGTAATGTTCAAATATGGACTCGGAGTTCTGCTTCCAGGTATAGATGCATACAAGATGGTTTGGCCCACCACCCACCACTCTGCTTTACAAAGTCAACAAGGACAGTTTAAAATTCTTTTCCTGGTTACTTTTCTTTGACCTTAATGCTAAATGCTATTTTGTAAAGGCTCCAGCTTCAGACAGATGCTGAATTACAGTAAACAATAAAAAAGGAAGAATTGATAAGTTTGATAATATTTTTGGTCTAAATGCTCTTTCATTTGCCTAAAAGCAAACACACTAAACTCTGAGAGTTAAAAACAGACCAGCTGACCAGAGAGGCTGTTCTCACACTTATTACTGGGCACGCATGAAAAAAGGGATGAACATGTTGCACTGTGAAAAACAGAAACACCAGTAAGAGCCGAAGAGTCAGTGAACTGGTGCTACTTAATGCCACAGTTCTTCTTCTGGTCTGAGGCGAAGCATCAAAAAATGAGCTTTAAGAAAGAGCGCTTAAAGATGTACATCCATGAACAGGAGTAATAAAAGGCTGCAGAGGCCATGAATGAATCATACTGAAGGAAACGCATCACCAAAAAACGACAGCACATAAAAAAGACGAGAGCCTCAACCAACCCAGTGTTAGTGATGTCATCACTTGTTGTAAGCACGGTTATAGTTGTAACCAGATTTGTTGAAGCGTCGCTACATTGTGACAGCAACATCTTCATGTTTAGGTTTTTCCACAATTACAATCCTCACATTGATCCATTTTCAGGTAGGAGAACTATACTTCCTGAAACCTGGGATTTTTTCACAGCCTCCTCCATGCCACAAGCAAAAGTCCTGGAATAACCCCTGCCTGTCTTACACTGTGGACATAGCGATCTGTTACACTTTTGATTTGATTATACTTGGCATAACATCTGGGGTGACAAAAAAACTGTTATTCTTATTTATGGTCATGATTTTTTGTGTGTGTGGATGACTGAATGTAGTGTAAAGCGCGTTGGGGTCTTTAGGGACGAAGTAAAGCGCTATACAAATACAAATACAGGCCATTTTTACCATACTGCTGATATTTCAAGCAAACAATACATCAAACGATTTCTTTATTTCTGTAATTCTGGGCTAATACTTGTAACATTCTGAGCTATTTATATGTAATTCATCTCAGGGCAGTTAAATGTTTACTGTGAGATACTGTATCTTCCTTTAGTGATATTTTCTGTAATTCTTACATACAGATATATAATGAAGACAACACTAAATACAAGTATGCAGATCAGCACCAGAAGGTTAAATAGACTTGAACTTATCTGGGGTTTTCACAGGTATAGTTTATGATGTAAAAACACAGAATTTGTTGTGAAAATAAGATTTAAGGAAAAGCACCCAAATAACATATATGCATGAGTAAGAGCATCCATCCTTCCTCAGAAAATATGCCCGAAAAAGTCTCGCAAAAAAGCAAATTACTCACCTGTTGTAGAAAGACTGGCACACCTGTGGCTGTTAAATCCTTCTTCACGGTGTGCTTCTTGAGCTCCAAGCTGAGAGTTTAAAAGTCCCGGCGAACAGCAGGAGCAGAGAGCTCAGGATGCTCAGCTGTGTGCAGAGGAAGGAGCCTGAAACCAGGTCTGGCTGTCAAACCTCAGGGGGGGGCACGCCACCATCAAGCTGCTCAGAATGAGGTCTGGACAGGTCTGACACCTGCTTTCAAAGTAAGAGCACATGGAGCAGATGGTGACTTCAATTGCTTCTCAGAGGCAGGATTGCTGCTGATGAAGTTTTTCAGCCACAGTAAAATGATTTTAGAAGAACTGATAAAAACTCTCGTGGTGGGATTTATCTCTGCACTCCAGGTTTAGTCATAATCACACATTTCACTGCATGGATTTGTTTTCATTATGAATATAATAGAAACATAAGAAGTTCATGTGATGATACATGGAAACCTATAAGCTGTCCCACATGGTTTTGGACAAGTGATGATGTAATTACTATGAACCCTTAAAACGGCAAAAAAAGCTGTGTTGCTGTCTTAAAATAATAATATTGGCATTACTATTCAAGTATGATTTGTAACATTTCGATCAGGGGGTCAGCGAGTTTATTTTAGTTACTTAACGTTATTGTATGTTCTGGAATTTAACTTGTGTCCAAAAAAGTGTCATAGTTATAAAGAAAGTAAAACAGAATCATGCCATGCTTTTATTTTGAAAGAACAGTGCAGGGTTTTTAGGGGGTGGGTTCGTGATTCGTTTGATGGGAGTGTAGAGGGGAAACGGGTGGAGCTGGAAGGATGTGCAGCATCCCACAGACATGGTGGAAATGACTTGGTGATATTCTTCAGCTGATGTTCACAATCAGACGTGTTCGGCAGACGCAGTGTCTCAGAGATGAAGTGACAGTAAATGCGAGGGTATTTCTGAGCCAAATATTTCACACAGCAGGATTTATGATAAAAAACTAAACCTTTAATCAGATAAAGTGAATAATGGCACCCTACAGATTCCTTATGGTTGCCATCAGGCCTCACCCCCACCTTCTCTGTGTTTGATTTCACTCCTGAAAAAAGTAAAAAGGACCTTTACACTAGGAACAAAGCTGCTCTTTCACTGCTCGTAGGGCAGAAATTACAGAGCGTTCACATGGCTAATGTGTTGGTGCCATTGACACTCATGATTGGGATCTAGCTTGAGTTTGAGTAATGATGGTAATACTCTTTTCCTCCAGCAACACAAATTATGATTTTAACAGTTTGCTGCTCAGGTGTATGAATGCTGTGATGGGAGACTGATGGATGCAGAGTGGGAGCACTGGCCTGACTGGATTTGAATCTGAATGGTGTACTGTAACCGGACTGCCTGGACTTTGCTTCAAAGAGGAGGGGGAGGAGGCCCCGGCTGCGCCTGTATGCCCAGAGTTTCAGCACTTGTCCCTGTTTTCCATGTTTAGAGTTTTCCCATTTTTAGGCTATTTATCCACAGTCTTTGGAACGAGGTGTGTCTACAAGTTGGGCTATTAATGCTGGACCCAGAGTGAGGTAAGATGACCAAACTGTAAGACTCAAGCCCTTCGCTGGAAAACTGTCATCAACCTGAAGAAGCGGCTTTGTAATGCAGTGACATAAGAATAACGGTAAACTGTGAGTTATTCATGCACCTGTGGCTGTTACAGGCACATTATAATTGTAATTCTGTCGTCTCTGAGCACACACACACAAACACACACGCACGCACACACATCATGGATCGATGACAGAGTTTCGGTTCAATCCTTGGGGATCGGGAGACATTTAACTTTATTCATAAGCTCCTTTCACTGCAAAGGCCCCCTTAGACAGTGCTGTTGTCTGAGAGTTGCATGACACAGAATAAACCAGTTTGCTTTGTCTTCACCTCTCTGTGTATGTACGCCACTTTGCTGAGACTGAAATAAAACTGAGCACTCAAATAGAGCCTTGAGTGCTCAAATTGAGCAGAAAGCACTTTATAAGTACCAGGCCACCTAACATGTAACAGCTTTGTAGGAGGTGGTGATCTGTGAGTGAGCAGATCCCCTGTGGAAACAATCCAAACCTTCACACTCTACCAGCTGAGTTATACTGACTCTTTCTCAGGTAGAACATCACACCGTAATATTTCCCAAAGAGAAGAAAGGCCAACATGCAAGGAAAAAGCAATGCTTACAAAAATACCTGTGCATGTGGATTGGGCCTCAATTTATGCATGTGTGCCCTAACAGAGAAACGGTGAGACACTATAGTCTCTCATGTGGTGATTAAAAACACATTTGTATGGAGCAGCTGCTGTTGGTGACGCACTGGAGATCAGTCGGCAGGTGCAGATGGCACAGTGCACAGAGACCATGCCTGAGTCCAACTGAACGTGCCGGGCCCACCTTATCAAATGGTCACTGTACTCTACGAACTGGACTCTGCAGGTCAAACGCTCTTGTGCACTCAGATCAGCTGATCTGGGAGAGGGCGCTGCTCTGGTGGCGATCAGCATTGACCACAGTACAGATCACCTAGTGTGAGTCACTCTTTGTCTGTGCTGGTTCTAGCTACAACTGACCATGTCTTTGGTACTGGTTCAGTCCAGAACCAGGAGCCTCAAACCTTTTGAATTTGACAAACTGGAGAATAAATTTCACATTAATTTTTTTTAAATCACAGTTTCAGTAGAGCGGCTTTAGTTTGCAACTCCTCCTTGTTTTCCTGTGTTAAAGGAAATAGCCATCAGTGTTTCAGCAGGGAAGCCTTTATGAAGCTTTTTTTTAGCGTTTGTTCATTTTTTAGTTGTATTTGTTTTATTCACTATGTGAGCTGATATTGCATTTCAAACAAAGAGCAAAGAAAAAGCTGATAAAGCTTCACCTGTCCTAAATGAATGTTTTACTTTAACACAGACACAGCTGTTATATATGTTTGATGAGTTTCGAGCTACTTCCATTTGATCTTTTGAGACCTGAGAAGCTGTAGTCAGGAAGTCTGCCCTCCAGTGCTTTTGTTAGAAACCCCCCCTGGAGAACTTCTCCTGGAAGCAGAGCCTGTTTATTTTTGCTTGCTATGTGGAAGAGTGGAACTACAACAAATCTCTTGTTGGAGTCTAAAATTTAATCCGGTCAAACAGAACAAGTTAAATTTGATGTTTTGTGTTTATTTTTGGATTTTTTTAGGAACTGAGGTGTTGCAGAGTTTACAGCATCAAGCTTAAAAGGAAAAACAAACACCGGCATGAAGTGACTTTGGCCAAGGACTCTGTAGTCCACAGGAACACAAAGTGTTTAGTCAGTGGGAGAACATTTACTAAAAGAAAACTATGTGCACACCACATCAAAATAAAAGGAAACGTTTTATTTCACATTTGTGTGATCAATAGATCCCCAGTTTGATCCCGGGAGGAGTCCAAAACAGGCAGCCCAAAGTAGCATTAGGCATCTTCTTGATCATCTTCTTAGAGGGACGCTACCAAATGTGGGT